AATAATTCCGTAGACGAATCACAAGTAAATGCATGAACGGAACGTCGAACAACATGGATACCCTGGGAAGAATATGTAAGTTTTTGGATGTGATTTGTGTTAATGCGGTATTAATTTTCCATGCTGACGTTGGTTCTTGAGTGAGCCTTACCACTGTAAATGCTATTATGGACCCGTTGTTAAGCACGCTAGTTTACAATAAATGCCAAAAGTAGTAACAGCAACCTATTACCTATACTTGGACTGGAAAATGCGCAAGTGTGCACAAGTGAACGTCGGGTAAAACCTCACCTAGCGTGTAAAATACCCGGCAATAAATTGACAACCGAAATTTGACAGAAGTCAAGCGCGGCTGGAGTGCATGTTGAAATAAAAACTAGTGCGAACAAACTCATTACAAATACAAATGAACGTAATATAACCCTTAAAAGGTTCAGCTTATTGATGAGTACCAAATCATGCATTCTGCCCAGGTAGCTAGCCTTTATTAAGAATTCGGTTCTAAAGACCAAATATTACAAAGAAAAATACCTAGTCTGATCCCCTATCATCTTCATCGACAGCATGAGATCAGTGTTCAACACTGATGCCTCGCAGCCATACAGCCATGATTTGAGACCCCTCCCTATTCCAAACTTCGTTACGTTCACAACGAAGACAAATACTACTACTGGACAATGCGACTTGGGAGCGTTGTGTGTTGGATTGTGAAAAAAATAACTTATCTGCGGGCTGTGTTGGCAATATGGTTGAATTTTTATTTGATTTGTTCGGTATAGGGAAGAGTGGCTGGCGCAAAGTCAGCAACATTCTTCACCGGGACCAATGGAACGGAAAAAACAATGGGTGCTCTTGGGGAAAGCACGTTAGTCTCCTATAAATTGCAAGGACGGAATTTTCGAGAATAATGAAGAGTGCTATCGAGTCCAGTGCTGAGTGCTAAAGTTGAAGGCGATAAACGTTTGGATAAGTAATCTGGTTTATGGGGTATGCACAAAAAAGGTATGAGTCAATCCAAGCAATGTTCCCCATCACACAAGATCAAGAAAAACGAGCTCAGGTCTCCTGAAATAGGTCACTATCATGCGGAATGGAATCTAGGCCATACCGACTGCGGAGGTGTGAAAGATCTAGGAATTCTTTCTCTTAAGATAGAGCAGTGTAATTACTGAAGCTCTGTCTGCCATAAACGAACTAAGCTCGGGTGTACCTGAAATTTAATTGCAGCAAAAGGTCCGTTTCTCAAGATCAAAATGTCTATCCACAATAAGAAGATCACTCGTGGTCCTTGTTATTTGGTAAATCATCTCTCGTTTCTACGTTCGACTAAATGAAGAAAAGATATACGTTTACGACTGGGTGATAAAAACGAAAGTTATCGTCTGAAACAACAGCAGGCAACATTTGACTAAGTATCATAATCACCAAGAACAATCCCCTTTTACCAAAACTCATTGATGTACATAAGAGGTATGTACATAAGTTAGCCCTCTCAACCGACCACTGAGGTAAACATCCTAATAAAATCGAAGTGAGGCCACAAGAGCATCGTACCTATCTTGAATACAATCGCTTAGTCAGTACCAAGATCATCAGCATGATCAATGAAAACGAAGCCAGATGAGAAAATTGGTACAGTCAGGTCAACTTATTCAAGAAGAGCATTATAATAGAGAAAAAAATGCGACAGTGAGGCGGAGCTGAAGCCATCCCACCACAAACACCCGAGGTACCTAAACCTAAAACACTCAGCCGAACAATCTAAATAGGAGCTGTCACCGTGAACACCACTGACATTGGTTAGCTGCCATATCGCTTTTTCACCAACCAATTACAGAGAAAATAATGCAAACCTCATCCTGCAAGGAAAACATGCCAACAGTATGCAGCTTCCCGTAACATTCATTCTGTCATGTCGGATTCTTTCCACCTCAAGGCATACGCCACTAGGAATTAGGCATGGAGAACAACGCCCATCTTGAGGGCAATGGAATATAACATCGGCTACAAACAGCAACAAGTTTTGGTACAACTAAAAGAACACTTTTGTCTTTGACAAGGCGCGAAAGTTGTTCTCAGTTGAAAAAACAAGATTCCAAGAAGCAAGTTCATTTCTGCTGATCAAGTTGTTCCGAAAGGATCACTCATGCTTCTATCAACCAGAAAAATGAAATGGTGAAGTAGCATACGAGAGGAATTTCACGCCTGATGGAACAAACGAACAAGCTGTGATTCATTCAGGTAGTCAAGTTGGCTTCGGTTCAAAAACAGGAAAGCTATGTAGTGAACCAAATCTCTATTTTTGTTACTTAATTTCTGAGGAGTAGAGGACTTTTGGCGCAAGAACAATGGAACTCCGGGCCAAACCTTCATCCATTGTCGGTCACTGCTAGTCACTGTTTCCAGTGTAGACTTCGAGCGTGCCTTTACTTACTGCTACGTTTTGTGCTTTTCCATTCTTTTCGTGAATGGTACTACTCATTTTACCATTGAAAGATTCGTCTGCCTCAAAATAAACAAACGCATCAGGGTAGCCCTCTCAAGTACATCCTAGCTGGCTGATTTTTGGATGGCGGCTCATATTATGGTCATACCAAAGGGATTGTATGCAACACGCGAACTTGTGTCCATAGTGCTTATCTAATAAGACTTCTATGAAAACCATAACTTGGACTTGTTTCTTTCATAAGCATGGTCTAGTTCCGCCGTACCAACTTATGCCAGGCAAGAACATCCTGGTAACCCTAGTTCGTTCATTAATTTAAACGGATGAAACAAGTAGAAAATGCCGTAAACTTTCGCATGTAACTCCCAGTGCTTCGCGAACTACATAATCGTAAACCAGTTCCTTGGAAAACCTTGATTACTTCCTGTGACATTTAATACTGTTTCAATAAGGAAAGAAGGCGGTAGCATTCAAACCTAAAAACTAATGCGTAGTAACTCGCCTATTATCTGATTGCTGTCGTCGTCATCAGTGGGGCGACACCACTGCTGAGCACACATGTTTCAGCCCTATCAACAATAATTCAACGGAAATCGATCGTAAAAAATAAGAGAAGAGCAACCCAGTGCTAGCCTGCCACAAATGATCCGGGTTAGCGCCATACACAAGCAAATTCAGAACACCTTGGTAAAACATGACGAGAAAGCCGTTGATATCGGGTAGAAGTTAAATCATGTTGAGTCCGCAGCTACGCACGAGTAGGAACAAGCTGTTATAGGACAAATATTCAAACATTCTCTAATCATTGTGAAATCATCCATTCCGGTGGTCCGTATTCCAGATGGTCAGGTATCACGCAAATAACATGGTTGGATTTCATTGTGTAGGAGCTACAAGATAAGTGTCGATTGAAAGCTTTATTACCTAGGAAGTAGTGGGTGGCATTAATTAGCATCAAGTACCAAAATAAACCATCGGAGGACAAGGGCTATCTACGACTTCCAATAACAGATCGTCATTCCCATACGAAGCATCTTCGGATATACCATTCGATATTTCAAGCGTACTCTTTACTTGTGGTAATGATTCATTTAATAGATATCCCCAGAACTAAAATTCAAACTGGAGCCCCGGTTACTGCGTAATGTAAGGGCTAGTTCGAATAAAACTTCGGAAATCCGTTACAAGTTGGTCCGGTAGCGGTCCGGAAGAGAACTTTTGCTGCTACTTATTGTAGGAGTGACGTGTAAGCTTTGTCCAAAATTCTGCAATCTCGGTCGACTCATATTAGAGTGATTTTGTCTTGCGTGCTAAAACTGGCTTCTACACTTCGGCAAGATAAGTCATACACCCCTAACAACTACCATTTGTAGAAAACGTTATGACTATCCAGTCGGCTTAGTGGTGGCATTTTGTTCATTCCATTTCAAACGTCGAAAAGTGTCCTCACAGTATACTGAATACGTAGAAAAAGCCGGGCCAAACAGAATGTACAGCCTAGACAGACTTTTTTTTATCCGCGACAAGTAGTAGGTTGGTATAAAATAAAAGTACGGCACGTGGAAATAATCAAGTTTCTGCTGTGAATATTAATGCGTCAGTCCGATCTGGAAAATATAATTAGTGTAAAACAGGATAAACAAATACCTGGAAGAGTAGCTGCTCAAAACAATTACTCTTCAAAAACGTAGTGAATTACCTTCAGGATTATCCAATACGGGATACCCAAAAGCCACCAAGACCAGTGCGCATTTGCGCCCTTGTAAAAGGTATACGATTGAATTTACCTGACAATTAAGTACTCACTCCAGTGTTGCTATGCTTCATAAACATCCACCTTGTAGAGCAAGTGTCTCAAAAGCACGCTCAATAACCGACGCTAGGTTCCTTAATACATAGCACAATCAGGAAGCAAAGAGTAGGAAAAACGGGTGACTACTTTCGTTTAGCATTCAGAACCCCGTTGCAAACAAATGCCGATGGAGCCATAACTCATTGAAAAGAAGACGAACGCTACAACTGACTGGGATATTCATGTGCCACATTCTAAGGCGCGTATCCCTTCGGGAGCGCGTGCGGCCATTGGGAACGGAAGCTTTATTTTCTTTCAGGTACAACAGACTGATTCAAAAAGCGAATAACATGGCCGCAATAAACTGTTGTGGTACTGGCACGGCTCATAGCAAAAATCTGTCGCCTGCCGGTTGCCGCGAAATAAGCTTGTCATACGGTACCATATTCCGACATTCCGGAAGCCAAGACCATCACCCGCGAAAGTTTCATACACCGCACGCATAAGTTCTTTGTCTTAAGGGGGACAGATATAGCAAAGTTTGCTCATGCTGAGTTGCATAAACAGCATCAAAGATCGTATGGATGCCGCAGGGGTGTTTACTCATGACTACACAGTAGTGAATGTGTAGGCGCGGCGTGACAACAGCAAACAGTGTCTTCGCTATCCGTCACCTTTCTTGGTACTAGTAACAAGTTTCACCCATTGAACATGCACCTTTGATCAGTTGACCGCGGTATACTTGATTCCTTTCTTCATTAGATCACCGAATTTGGACAACCCTTATCAACTTACAAAGCCTACAGTTCATTTCCAAGAATTCACTTGAGTGCAGAAACTGCGCGACGCAAAACCAAGACACTGACCCTGAGCATTGCAAAGTACGCCAAATCTTGCTCCATTACTTTAACGAGACAATCAGAAGCCACCCTTCTGATCCAGTGAAACTGAGAATTCGTTGTCATCGGTCTAACGAATAAGGTAGGACGCGACATCGCCACCGACATAGGTGATGAAGAGGACAATAACTAACGGGATGATTCCGCAGACTAGATCAATGTAAAACCTTGAAAGTAGCTGAACGCAAAGTATAAGTCCCTTTAACTGCCAAGAATCGAGCAGACCGGATTATTCGGTTCTGCAGATGAAGCCAACGTGTGCCAAGACGCCACGCAAGTTTGTTTTATACTTGTTAGGAATTATCAGCTCTGTGCACCTGACGGATGTTGGTTTTTCTCTATCTCCGAAATCAGGCTGAGACAACTTCTTTCAAATGACTTCAGCAAAAAACAAGTTTGTTTGATACTCTTAGTTTGCCTTTTTTATATCATAGGGAGACATCCGCATATCGTTTCGGGTGAAGAGTTTGTCGCAGCGGTTCACAGAGAAAGTATCTGATAGATTACAATCCAACCATGTAGGCAATATCTATACTTCAGCCCAATTCGAAACACGTACGGAAGCAAGATGGGCACTTTACACTTTTCCATGTGAATGATTTGCTCCACCGGGGGAGAGAGTGCGAGGTAAACGCCATATATTACTGAACAGTACTAATCAGTAGACCGGCGCAACAAATGGATCTCTTGAGCTTTGCCAGTCTACCATACCGCAACACCGTTTTCGTTTTCAGTGGATTCGGTTTGGCCGAAGAGCTAGTCAGATAATAGACGACAGCACAACTCTTCGTGAGAAATCAGAGTTGCACAGATAGTTATGGGAAAAACCGAAAACAGAGTCAACACACTAGAATAGCTTGATATTGATCTCACTAACGATTGATGATGAGTAATTTTGTCTTGTACTTTTCATTCGAGTATGGTTGGGTAGCTCAGTAATTGCTAGTTTGTTACGACCAAGATCAAAATAATTGAAGGTTGTTATACTAGTTCAAGACGCGAAGTTGCTTTCGACCAGGAAATGTCGAAAGTTTGTACCTCCGGCGAGACATTCGCTTCTGCACTGCTAAAAACTTGCAAATGAAAATTCACTACCACTGTGTGTGGACTACGAAAGACCCCCATCAAAATGATGTTTTAGTCCCCCCGGAATGGTTTCCTTAACGCCAGTAGCTTGGAAAGTCCGTCACGAGTACCATTCTTCATCGGCACTTTTCTCCAACGCGACTAAACTGAGGTTGTCAGCCATTTTATTGCTAGAAGTCAATAGGTATTCACAAATTGTATCCTACGACGTAATACAATTTTAGCATGCGGTCATTCGATCGGTAGTAGGAGGAAGTCAGAAGGGGATAGAATGATTACCCATCTTAAATCAGAGCTGACTAGAAAAAAAACCCAAACATCCAGCAACGTATAGTGGCTCCGACAGAGCGACGAATGGATACTTGGTAAACCTGTTTGGGATATCTGCGGAATATATCTTTCATAGACCGCGCTTTCCTCACTGATAGCAGCTCTACATAGTCAAAACAACGATAGATCTATTTTAGCTGACTGCCAAATTCGAAGCCCAAGTGATCTGTACGACCATTTTAATTGAGCGGGAATATTTCTCAATGCTGTTTAGTTGATTCTTACCGGTTGGGTAACACTGAGGGATGAAGCCGTTGCATCGACGATAGACAAGTAAATGATGCCATTGTTTACAGTTAGGCCATCATTTTTAGACCAACTTACGGTTGGTAACAGGCCTCTGCATGTGCCCTGACCGTTGCTTGCAGGCAATCCGATTTGGCAAGCCATTCATGAAGCCCCGTTCATTATTTAGTTGAATAGTGTGCATTTATATATGACGAAGCGGCAATGGTTCCCCAGCATATCGCTAAATGGTCGCGGATTCGTGTGAACAACAAGCGGCCTGATGAATATATGTTCTAAAACTTTCCCCTCATCAGACCAGCCAAACTGACTACTGGCGAGCGTGACCTACCGGTAGCTCGGCTCCACCTATTGTTGGCACCTCGCTCGCAATCTACTCAAGCTGGAGGTAAACAGTAAGGCTGAATAAAGTGTTCGAACATTTTGTTGCTCTGTGATAAGACGTTTCCCCGGATTTTTTTTAAGAAATGGTTCCCGTTAAGATTGATGGAGCCGAGGATACCTAACACCTTCGATCCCATTTGAGATGTTTGATGTTTTGCACATCGTTTCGGTAGCAAAGTTCCCAGGACCAGGGGACATGGAGGATCACTGAAGCTTGAAATGCGGTAGCCCCATCGGTGCTTGGACTGTAAGAAACTTGGTGTAAGTGAATTGGACAAGCTTGCACTCCTTACGAAACCGGGGAGAAATTAACCAGTTTTACTCCACTTACAGCACTCTATCGGTCAGTGCCACTGAAATGGGGATTCCAAAACTGTCCAACGACAGATTAACGGAACGATTTGCGCTCAAGAATTCACAAACAAGTTACATCTTACGAGAATCCATAACAGCTTTAAAACACGATTTGACTTAACATTCATGCTGCATACCGAACACTGCGCGGTGTAGCGATACCCCTGAGATTAGCGACCGCAGTAAAATGGAATGAAAAGGTTGTCAGCAGTGGGAACCAGAGTACCAAGCTATTGAAATTCAGAAGAACACATGGCAGAAATAGGTACTGATGATAGATCAGCGAATAATCATAACCCTGCAGATGTGTTAAATTTGCAATGAACCAAGTTGATGGTCATACAGAAATAGGAAAATGAACAAGATATACTGACGGCCCTGCATACAAGTCATGAAACGACACGCAAGGGTGAGTTGCATCTTCGGGAGATGGAGTTGTAAGAGAAGCAGGGGCGAACCCTCAGACCGACGGTGAGATACGAGCAGCTGTACGACGATCGTCAAAAGATAAGAAAGACTGACTGTGCGCACACTTCTCGTGTAGCCAAAACATGCGATTGGGGAAAAGGGACGGATTTTCGATAAAAGGATAAAAGGGAGAAACAGCATCGAAACCAATGGAAGCAAAGCTTTAGGTGAACTAGAAAGTTACTGTACAAATGAGTAAGAAAACATCGGGAACTAATGTGTAAAGGATTAAACAGAACGAATGAGAAAAAAAACGATGGATGCAGACAACCGCTCCACACAGTTTGTAAGATAACACATAACAAAACTGAAAAGATCGATTAAACAGGAGTCGTAAGTACACACGGCAGAAACACTAAAGTCAAAATTGAAATAAAAAAAAATTTATAAGCCCTAGTTGTTTGACGACACTGTGGCCTAGAAGGGACAAACAAATATACACACCATAGGACTAGACGGGCAATGACGGATAAAACTCCAGCGAAATGTGAAACAGTACTAGAGTGGGTTACGATTCTTTCCCAAGTAAATCGAAAACGTTTTGCGAAAGGCTTCGTAGAATGGAATTCCTCTTGGGGTGGGAGAGGATGTGCAAATTGCGTGTTTTAGAAGCGAACAACGCACACACTCAGAAGCATCGTATCAAAAGTGGATGAGCAATGTAACCAAACGAAGCCTAGTAGGCAACTCAAAAGTGGGTTAGATTTCGTTCAATAAACTACACGCGTAAAAGTCCATTCGATGACCAGGTTGCAGAAATAGGAAAATAATTCATTTACAACGGGAGATACCCAACAGCATGCGTGAATGCAGTTTTGAAATAAAGGATTTATCGAGAGAAACCCCATTTACTGACGAAGAAAAAACAAAAGAAAAAAGTGTTTCAGGTAGGGGCTAGACAATTTCGTAGAACACACCATCGGAGGCGCAAACTGATTGCACAGGCTGAGAGGTTTTAAATTTGTCGGTCGTTTGCGAAGTCGTGAGACTTCGACTAGCCGTTGTCTCTGGGGTTCCGTCGGAAGTGGATGGCTCGACAGATGCGTCTGCGTTTGATACATCTTCTTCAGTCAAGCGATGCCCATTGAGCAACACACCATTGGGCCGACCTATGGAACCAAACGCCGAATGCTGCCGATAGTGCAACGAGTAATGTTGATTTCGCCACTGTCGCGGATGAGAATAGAAACGAGTTGAAACTGAGGGGGAATAAGGAGTGACAGACGAAAGTTGTGGACCACCATACTGGATCACCATCCCAGAAGGGCGGCTGGTGACTGATGTTTGTGAGGGCGCGGAAGACGTACCCACAGACAATCCATCGTGTACTGTGTCTGAAGGTGCGTCCACTGACTCCGCAACCGGTTTGTCGGCCGACACTGTTTTGACAAGATCCTCATTCAAGCTCTCTTGTTGACCCACCACAGGCATGGAAACAGCACCAGGTGAGCCATATGCAGTTGTCTGGTCACGTGGGAGAAAATAGTGCGGAGGACGTGGGGTAGGAAAAGCCGGATAGGCGGGATTAAGTCCGAGCGGTCCGTAATGTTGGAGTGAAGGTAAAGGACCAGCTGGCAAGTAGGGATTTATGTAGGGTGAAAATGTGTTATTCGCGGCAGCGAGAGCAGCAGCAGCGGCGGCAGCGGAGGACTGTTGCATATGGAATAGCTCGGATTCCAGAAGACGGGCATATGTCTTATAACGATGAATCTAGAATAGGGAAATGGAAATTGTCGGGTAGTCATGGGTGCCTGGGACAAGTAGGGGAGATACAGAGGCACAAACAAACGAAGCAAGTCTCAAACCAAAGGTCGAAGTGGAGGCTTCTACGTAGCACTATGATTTTACCCATCACGAGCCTCTTTTAAAAGGGATTGGCGTAAAAGATAAGTTCTAGCCAAATGTGTACATTAAACCGACCTACCAATTACAATTAATCACTGGAGACAAAAAGCATCTTCTTAGGGAAGAAGGGTGGGAAAAGCTGGTGGGTGAAGACTCCACGGACGCCTGTGTGCAAATTGCATTGTGCAACATGAAAAACCTTCACAAATTCCGGAGAACAGGTTCTCGTGTGTGAGGAAAGCCCTCAAACACAGCCACGAGGTTACCTTAGGTGACTATGCCGAATAAAACAAAACAATGTATCCCTTTTCATAGAGGAAACTACTCACAAGGTTGCTGAAAACTCCTCAACAGTAACTCACGACCCGTTTCGCCGCTCTAGTAGTTCATCAGATAAGCGCAGTTTCCATCAATCTTATGTTCTGCCTGAGCCCAAACTGGACAGATTTCGACATTTCCATATCAGTTTGGGTTTCACGAGGGACTCAACTGAATCTCTCGTTCACGATATTCCTTAACTGTGTGTGCTGCACAAAGGATGCCTCCTGTTTCAGATGATACCTTATTCGAAATATCGCAGTGTTTGTCGACACATGCCCAATTTGGGGTCCAAGTAGAACAGAAGGATGACGGAATCCCAAGAACTGCGAAACCTGCCGTGAGCTGCTGTCGAAGAGTTTCAGCAACCTTATGAGTAGTTTCCTTCATAAATATACTACGATAGGTCGAATATCGCTGAAAAGCCCAGAAGTACTGTAGAGTTTTTCACAACCATTGGGAATAATTAGCAGTGCGCACTTCACGAAACTCCAGAGCTTCGACCCAGGGACTTTTCGGACAGTAGTTTGAACAGTCAACTGTCCAATCACGAGGCAATGCTAGGCAGTAAGATTTACTCGCACTAAGGCAGGATATAGCGCCGCCCATCCAACGAGAGTAGCAGGTCAGCATATGTGACTACGTGAAATGGATTCTGTGATTGTGTATACAGTAGATAACTGACGACTGCTTGAAATAAACCCATTCGCGTGCGAAATGGCCGAAACTTTGAGAAGATTACGGATGCGCAAGGTTCGCGACCGGCACTGATAATGTTCCAATGGGGATGATGGAACGTCACAGAATCTCAAGCGTCTTGAGGAAAACATTTGGATTTGTGCAGACTTCTAGTGGACGTGTTGAACCAGCGGACAAAATAAATGAAAGCAATTAGTATGGGGTGTGTCAAAAAAATTCTTCAGAAGAGGCATCCAATGGATTTGGAATGTAACCTTGTTGGTGTTGATTCTATTCAAACCACGATAACTGGTGTTAAAAGCGTAACAGTTATTAATTTGATGATAGACTTAACAGGCTTTTACAAAGGAGTATCGCTCTGTTTACACACAGAAGAGATGTTTGGCAATAAGGTGAGTAAGCAGTACAACGTGAAACACAGAACTGTCTATTACATATACACACATAATCAAAGTTCACAAGTCAGAGGTTCATGCTAAAAGCCAGGTCGTAGTTGCCTCTGGTATTTGATAAACACCGCTGATTAGTTGCATAGGATTACTAGGTCAAGAACTTGCGTGCGAGGAAAAGTACGGAAGATGTGAACACCATCTCTATTGAATTCAGAAACCGAGTACTGACAGGTGCTGATTACCTAGTCACTTGCTGCAGAATATGTCCCATGGGGTTTCATGCATACTTCAAGGGAAAAGCTTGATTTATTGTGAAACGCCCACATATTCTGAACAGACAGCGTCTTTCATCGAAATGGGGATTCTTCAACTATGTGAAAATCCCACTCCGAGGAGAAATGTCAATTTCAGCTCATGATATTCAACTTCAATTCTCATTCTTCTCACCCAGTAAGGTCGGTAATTTAACACAGAGGCCTTTTCATGATCCTACGTTTCAATCCAACATGATATATAGCATTGGAAATGAGATACTTTTCAACCATTTGCAATGAACTACATTGTGCAGCGAAAGTTTCCCCCCATTATTCAAGTGTTGGATAAACGAATTTTCGGAAAAATCCATAAAAATACAAGTTTCGACATTTAAATGAGGCGCACACGAATTATTGGTTTAGTTCTGTTATATAGAAGAACAAACACCGGTTTGCACAAATAATCAAAGTATAGAGCTTTGAAGTCAAACAATGCGGGTACCTACATTTTGCTTCGAACTGTCTGTTCTCAGATGATAAAAAGACTAGTCACTCGGTATGTCCAGAGAGCGTACAGTAACTCAGGTAGAGGGAACACTACTAGCCACCGCCGTTTTCATTTATGGTAGTGGGGGTTTTCGGGATGGCATGAGCTTGGTCTATGAACGGTTATTATTACCAGGCCATGAGGTTCACGGTTTACTTGCGTGTTTAACCGGGTAGTTGACTATTACGCTGCTCAATGTGGCTCTCCTTGTAAAGCACACCCAACTATGACTCCCATTAGTGGTCTCTGTTGATGGAACAGGTTACTTGGATACCTAAGTGAATTTCACGATTGTATTCAATCTTGTTTCGACCCATCAAACGGAAATAGTGGGATGAGCTTTCACACCGTTGATTTAATTAAACATGATGAACACGCGAAGGGTTTTCATGGAGTCCAATGTCCGATCATTATGGTTGGATGGTTACTTTAGTCATTTCAACCACCTGGAAAACAGCTCAATTTTTAAGGATGTTCTTGAAACGATGAAAGTTACCGCAAAAAAACACACCTCAGATTCAGTGAATTGTATCCGTTCCTCATGCTCAGCACGCTGCCTTGCTGTCATGGTCGGGGAAGCCGTCACCTCCAGACCGGGAATCGATCCCGAACTAGTTTTGCGACGTCGGCCCAGACTAGCTGAGGAGAAAACGGATATGATTGAAGAGGACGTAGACGAAGAAGTAGTGGACGATGCTGCCGTTGCAGGAACAGCACTGGTAACGTTAGTGGTGGCAACTGAAGTGGAAGTAATTGAGGTGCCCGGAGTAGTGGGTACAACCACTGGGGTGGTTGTCGCATGGTCACCAGCTTCGTCTGTGGGTTCGATAGGGGCAGATAACGCAGACGTCGTCTCGGCTGTCACTGTTGGGGACAGGTCTTCGCATTCGACGGCTGACAGAGACCGAGATTTTAGTGAGTGAGGTACACTAGTTCCAACACGTTTGCGTAGGTCATCAAGCTCACGACCAAGTTCGATCAGACGGCGTTGGTGTTCCTCCAGTTGTTCGCGCTAAAGCAAGCGAGTAAATCGAAAAGTGCAAAGGGGTTTAAACATCTGCGAAAGTGAGAGGTGATCATAGAAAGATGAAGAAAATGTGAAATGAAACCACAAGAGTGGGCCAAAAATCCATGATACAAAATAAAAGCCAGAGGCGAAACTACGGAAAACGGAGAGTGCAACTTACAATATTGAGCTTGGTGCATGTGGAAGGCAGATGCGGTCGGTAAAACCCCCGTTCTGAGCCGATGGGACCAGGCATTGCAGGAGCAGAGAGTAGGGCGGCAACAAAGTTGATGCGGTCTACCCACATATCCAACTCCTTAGCGTCCCTAGAAATGCAGAAAATGGATGTGAAAAACTCTGAACAAAACGCGATGATAATACAATCTAAAAACAATAAGCGCATTATTTACAGATACCCCGTCTCCAAACGAAAAGAAACTTGGTTCAGACGATGAAAAATCCAACGCTATTTATCCAAGCGATGTGCCAATGCAAAAACACCATCATAGACGGGCATTCGTGGTGAACCTGTGCTTTAAGCCAAAGATGGATTTCGTCAATCAATAACTGGTTTCATACCACCTGTCCTAGTCAGGCAGACCAAAGACGGATATGGGGATAAAGATGACTGGTTAACCAGTGGGTTGATGAATCAACAATGACAGACGTCAATTGAAGATAAACAATCTCGTTTTCGGAACAGACGGTCCGTGTGTGCAGGAAAGAGCTACATACGTAGGGCAACTAAACCGGGTCACATAACAGAACAGCAATAAAGTAGTCGCTAGGAGAAGGAGAGAGCAATCAGCCGATAAAAAATACAGTAACGTATGGGAGGTTTACCAGAATATATGCATCATTAACAGTGCATCATAAGAAAATGGGTGCAGCGATAGCTCAGGATTCTCAAGACTAATAAGAATCCAGTAAAGCACAGTTCGAACGACGGTGACTGGGTCGTGTGGCAAATTCAATGTGGGCTCGTTTGCTGGTTATGGGTATTGGTGGACTGAAGTAAAGATCGAACGAAAGTAAGCAGGCTCCAATCTTGAAACAAGTTCCAATTTGAAAAGGTCATGATGATAATTAGTTCACCCGAAACAAGCGGGAAAAACGGAAAACAACACGGCTTTTCGCCGTAAAGTTAAAAGTCTTATCCGGGAATGCCCGTCAGTGGAAAAGACAAGTATCGCTATGAAAAAACAAAAATCGTTCCAAGAATCAGGGTTAAGTTTTGGCGAGAATATCGATAGCGGCGGTAGTCTTAGAAATTAGTGCTCCGTTGCCTTACAAATATTCCCAAGTTTCTTGGACAGAACTACCACAGAGCAAAGAACATTACGAAATATTGATAAATCCTAATAATAACTCCATTCGAGTAAAGTTTTAAAACAGAAGACAATAAATAGTGCAAGAGCAGAGCACAAGAAGAGTAAAAAAGTCTTGCCAACACTCATGAGTAACAACAACTGTTTGTATTTCCAGCATACCAGGAGGCCTGAATGGATATGCCATTCACCGGAATTACCGACACTGTCACGTAGGTGCGAACATATACATTGTTTCAGATAAAAATGTACTGATAGATTAACAGGTCTGCATCGTATCTCCTATCGGTTGAACTCAATTCTCTGATCAAGAGACCAGGAATTCCTCCGTGATCTATGTACACCACCAGCCAGAACTCTGACTTATAGGACCCACCTGACCACCGGAGCAATGAAACACACAGGAAGCAGTGTTGCTGGCTACATGACTCCACATCAGTCTCTCGTATAACTAGGCTCTATCGAGATAGCCTGCTTTCAGTCACCAGCGTGCATTGAAATAACAGCTACAAAAGCGGAGAATGGAGACATTTTAAACCCATTTTTTCATTATAAATAAAAAGCAAGAGATTTGTGTTCTCCATCTCCATAGGGAACTCCGGGGGTAAGCGGACTTTGTATTGATTGGTGTACATTACAAAATCCTACGGGCATTTATTTTATGCTTAAAAAACCTGAAGTTTAGATGGGAAGAAATTCGAAAATGTTTCACGGCTACCTCCATCCGTTGGGTGTCACGGTGTTATTGCAACGGTTTTCAAAGGGGGCTCTTGTAGCTGCCATTCTATTATACGATGGTGACAGAGCGAAAGCTATCCGGATGGGACCATGTTCTTTTTGTCATACAAGGGAATGACGTAAGGTCAGAGGGCTGGCAACACTATTTCCAATGTGCTGTAATGTGTTTTACTGGTAGATACCATTGGTCAACGTTCTGTCAGGTAATGTAATTTTCTCACCTTGGTCGCAAATGCTGAATGACAAAAGTAATTCCTTGGTTGCTGTAGGGTTTCCCCCGTTACATAAAATAACCGAACACACAAGGAGCGGACCATCCACCATCACGAAAACAAAAACAATCAGATTCCCCACCCTAACACCCAACAAATGATGTTAGGTTAAAAAAGGTACGAGTGACCCCACAGTCTACCTTGGACCGTGAAGCAATGTAGAGAGATGATATCACGCAAAGTATGCAGTCCATAGCTTCAAAGTGCCTCTTCAAAATAGCGAACACCATCGGGATACGGTAAATCCATTTAGTCCCACACAAACAACGGTTCCCCTGTTGTGGAACTAGCACCATGAAGATCAAGTTTCGAATCTTCCGTGTGAGCGTTTCAAGGTTGGCTTTGGCCCACTGCCCTTAAATATTGCATAACTGCTATCACATAGACAACAATAAAACAGATGGAATAAAGTAACCAAATCACTCCTGATGGGGTTCGTCTCTGATTTAACAACCGCTGGTCGGTATTGCAGAGCCAATTACGGACAAATAAGAGTGTAGTGATCGCTTCGAGAATGTGTTACAAACGCCTCTGAAAACGAAAGGCCGTTGCTAAGCGATACAATTCTATATGAAAATCCACCTAACGCGCTCCGCTTTACAAGGCTCGTCCTTTGTTTGGTGGCTGCCTTTGTCAGTCATGCCATTCTTTCAACGGCTTACTCATTGAGGCTCCCAGTAAATAAAAAGCTGCTGGCGTTTTGAATGTTGTGAACATCAAGCGACAAGCGTTGCGTAACAATGCATAAACCTCAATTTCCCAATACTGACTCATGCAAATATGTTTCCTATGTGATGCATAATATGATGTGTGGTGCATCTTCGTGTGCTCGGTCTTTAACTTCTGTTATTGGCATTTGACCCAGCAGTTTCTTTTGGCAGGTGTTGATGCGCCGATGAGAGAAACAGGTTCATAAGTCTCGTTTTAACTTCAATCATTTAGGCTGCCTTATAATTTCAAACAGTTTCTTCCGGTTTCCTGCCATCAAGCCCCGATAAGAGTAGGCGTTGCTAGTTTCGATGGCTTTGTGCAAAAAAAACAGACCAACCATTTTTATCGCGCTATTTTTACTCATAGTCGATTAAATGGCAAACATTTGTCCTGTGGAAAATACGATCAGGCGAGGAAATTTCAGAAGAGCCTGGTAAGCAAACGGTTGGAAGGGTTACAATTTTGATGGGAGAGTTTCGTCAGACCGTAAGTTACCAGGTTGCTAAAATTTTAGGCTGTCTTCAATTTGGAAGTGCAGACAGCTAAAACATGGGGGCTAGCACAAAGAATCGGCGTGCTCCTATGAATTGGTTTCCCGAAGTACGAAAAGGCAGACGGTGGTGAAACAGTTGAACGGAAATCCGGATGGAAGGTATCGGCAAGAAGAGGAATAATGGGAACAATATATACCGGTACAAAGTTGGGGGTGTTAACAGTAAACATGAGCAAACGAAGGTGACGAATGTAGGTACAGCGAAATTCGGAGAACAGTCCATGTAAGATGAAAATATATCGTAAAGTTTTGCAGCTTGAGTTTGTTTCAAATAGGTAATGAATAAACGAATGCACAAATTCATGCAGGAATTGTAAATTAAAAAACATAACCGATACAGCATACAATCCCGAAAAATCTCTTTTATGAGCCGAAAGTCAGGTGTTTGGAGTCAGAACAAATTAAATTCCGGCCACGTGTAGAATTACTGTGTGGAAACTGCTTCAGCTCGTTGAGCATTCGCACAAAAAAGAATCAAACCGAGATTTACGGCCATCGCGATTCATGTGATCCAGGAGAGTATGGAATACGAACAGGACCCTAATTTCGAATACTGCATTCGGATTGGAATGCCCATTAATTCAAAGTCTGAGGTTCGATATTTGGCCCTGTGGCACAGTTATTTTTTAGAACGAAAATCGGTAGAATGAGATCGATTAACGAAGTACAACGCAGTTCTTTTAAGAACAAGTGTTTTCTGAATCAGGATACGTGCCATAAATAGCTTACCATACGAATTAGAAAAGCCTAATGCATAGGCCATTCGCCTTCACGAATAGAACGAATAGCTCAGCTGTTACTTCACACAGTAAAAGAACAAGGAACAGAAGATACACATTTGAGCGTGTTTTATGAATACGATAAAAAAATATGAATAAATACACGGAAAATTCCATCGCTCGACAAAGAGAACTTACGCAACTTCAAACAAATATTCTGCGCCCTCTCGTGTTTTCAGGCGAAATACATTGGGCTTTTTCACATAGTCCGTGGCTCGCGAGGCAATTGCATGCACAATCCGCACTATCGTTTCTGGTGCTGGGATGTTAGGGGGTACGGTGTTCGGTGGGGGCGGAGGTGGGAAAGTGAGTGGAGGTTGCATAGTCAAGGGTGAAGGAAAGATGCCACCCACGGGCCCCATATAAGCTGGAGGCGGAGGATGCTGCATTGGCGCGGCGGCGCTACTGGTGGTAGTGACAGTGGGAGCTCCATTAGGGTCATTTGACCGGGTTGTGCGAACAGCAGAACTCGAAGAATGATCTGGAATACCAGGGGAACAACTAACCGACAGTAAGCTCTCTTGAGGAGCGTCCGTAACGGAAGGCAGGTCACTCCTAGAAGGTGAAGACAATGAAACAAGCGATGGGTGTTTAACAATACGAAGACAATATACAAGCACAGGCAAGCATAGGAAAATGAAGGAAAACCATACTCAATTACAATATAGTCTCTCTCCGGCGACCAACGTTATATGGTCGGTTTTGTCAAACTTCCACATCCCTCATAGGATGATTCCCATGTTTGTGATGGCAACAGCTTATATGAACTGGTCATTAGGTCACCACCCAGAATGCGACATCGCTAAAAGCAGACATTAGTCTTGCGACAAAATGGTGGTTACTTCAACAACAGGTGAAGAATACAAACACTGCCCATAGAATCGTCCGCGTCTGGCAAAAGCATTTCTGACAGGCCGTTCAAGCAATCGTTAGGTGTAAACCTAAAATTGGTGAACAATGCACTCAAGGAGTTGGAGGAAATTGCTAATTCGTCGGTGCATACTGCTAGGACGAATCATGTGACCATAAAATGTTTCAGATGGGTTTCAAAGTATGGTGGGGACAGATGCTAAAAAGGATGACTATTCTGGGTATTCCGTATGCAGATATGTGTGACTGGTTGACAGTAATCAAGAGTAATACCCTACCCTCCACCCTGAAGGGTTCCCAAACATTTAAAGAACATTATTCTGGATAAGCGGCCCACATAACGTGACCGATAGGTGTGGTAAAACAGTAAATAGGGGGCGGATGAACCTAAATTAAATTTGCAAGCTACGCTACACGTGGCACTCGAGATCGGTTTCTTAATTAACTATCAAAGGCTACCAACCATGAGTGTGTCACACTGAGTAGAAATTCAATGGCACGTAAGACTCAGATTCGGGACACACCAAGGAAATGAGTAGGCTGAACCGATGATCATGGCAACTCGAAAAGTGATCAACGTAGATCCATTAATTCCATTGATCTATCTATCGCTCCATGTCCGATTACTTGTGTGTTCGATTGCTTTACAGTACATGGGAAAATCAATTAAAGACTAGGGACTCGATAATCTCCAAAAAAGTGACGGTGCCGAACCGGTTGGCGAATGTGACGACAACGATGACATTAAAACATTCATGCACCGCATTTCGCTAATTTTTGAAACAGAATGTAGAATTAGCCGCTCTAAACGCCTCGGCATTGTACGTTTGTCTCGCGTTACTGCACATAAACGTGTGCGCGAACAAAAAGAAACGGGATTCGGGTACTTTTATCCTTACTCGAATAACAGCTTACACACGTACACAATGAAAAGATGTACTGAGGCGGAATCTGGACAGTGAATACTAAGCAGAGAGAGTACAATTCATAGGTTGTTGGATGGAGAATGGGACGACGAACAAAGGATTCAAGTCACACTCGAAAAACGGTCCCGAACTGTGAGCCCTGGTATAGTGTACCAAGCGCCCGGATACCGAAATAAGATAAACACGACAAACTAAGACGATCACTAACCAAATGGGTAGGGAATGCCGAAACCTGGTAGGACGAGTTAGTGTATATGTAGACAGTTTATCGATAAAACGGTTGGTCCCGAAATATTAGACTGGATGGAAAACAAGTGTACATGCTCAGGGAGATATAGCGATAGGTTCACAAGCAACGAGAGTTTGCTCGAGTGAAGCATCACTCATCGTATGAAAGTTGCACTCCACATGTTGAGCCCCATAAACGATGTCCAAAGTGCTATTCTAGTGGAGTCATTAGGGAAAACCTCAATGTAAGATATATCTTTGGTGCACCTCTTTTGCCCTTTGTGCTGCCGAAAGTTCTTGAAATGCCATCTCACAAGAAGTCATTGAAAAATTTTCACTGTATAAGGTATTAGAAGTGTGACCTTGAGCTTACCAAGATTAAGATGGGTGGATTGGCGATTACCTATAATTTTATCCAGTCACAGGATGAATATGCAAGATTTTGGGATTTCCATCACTGGTCGATACACATTTTATCTGACACCACTGAGTTTACCAACGCGAAGATGAGGGTAAATTTATAGTAAGATAAGGCACCCTTCATAGAAAGATGGACTTAAGAAGGAAACGCAAATGACATTGCTGTATGTGAAGAAGTTTGCTTTAGAATGACAGCCCAGTACACTCAGAGGAGATAAGAGAATGACAGTGAAGTCCCATAAAAAAAGTGACAAAACCACTCGAAGCAAAAACAAGTCCTGAATATCTCACATTTCGCGTGCAACATTCGGCCATCAATAGTTCCACAGGGATACATCGCAATCCAGAAAATGCTGGGTGCTTTTACTTTCCAGTAAAGGAGTTTCATCGACAAAATTTTACAATTCAACAGTGGGTACTTATTCTTCTGGTGAAGTAAGCAGGTGAAAACAGAAAAAAATACATGCAGATTAGAAAGGCTTGAAAGGTATAACTGTGCAATCATTTTGCAATTAGGCAGACGTATACTTACGTCTTCGAAATAAGTTGTCCATTTTCCTCCGAAGAATCGTGCGGAAAACACTGTTGGGAAACTTGTTCCACGTGTTCTTGAGACCCGTCTGGTAGCTCCTGCTCATTTGTCGTTTCATCTGGCGGTTCAATCGGTTTCTGTTGGAGCATGAGTTGCTGCTGCTGCGCTTGAAATGCCGTCCAATGGTTAAAACGAGCCTGCTGTTGCTGGTGCAATTGATGCATCTCCTCAGCTCTGGCCGCAGCGTTTGCAACAATAGCATTTTTGTACAAATACAAAACCAAATCTCGTAGTCGAGCGTAGTATACTTTCCAACCCCGACGCCCAATCGAGGCTAGGGTGTGAGGAGACAGAGGCGAAAGCACAGGTAAAAATAAAGCCATGTGAGCCCAATTTTGAAGAAGACAAGAGACGGTTTGTGCTGATCCCGGATATCTATATTCACTTAGGCCCAATGAGGTTTTTAAGTGTCGACGGAGCAGCACACGTGTGCCACATCACGAACAAACCACATCCCATGAGTGAAATAGTAACTATTCAGAAAATGTTTGCATAGTTCGAGCCCGCTAAAAAGTAAAACCGTTCAGCTGTAACACCCTTCCGGTGTCTAGCTGCCATGCTACTGGAAGGAAGCACGAGGGCCGGGATATTGTCAGGTTGCCCAAGCCTAGACAGGGGAAGTCGAGAGGTAGAGGTTGGGTTCGAACCACGGACCTTTTGGTTAGTGAATTCGCACTCTAACCACTTGGGCCATCTCGCTCCCGTTTGAGCCTACTGACGGGCTTCATCATCCCATTCGCAGCAAGTACGTCCTCACCATATTTCATTTGATGGAAGTCGGTTTGTGGTACCTACTACGCCTTCCATGTGACAGCTTCCTCCGTAAAACGACCGGTGCATCTTTCCGTCAACTACTTTGACATGCTATGCAATCCGTTTCAGATTCTAAATGCGGCTGACTTTTGTTGTTTCTCAACCTACGATAGAGAGAACACCAAAGCTGTATGTACAGACGAAGGGTCAAATGGACATACAAGGAATAGGTCAGTAACACGAACGTTGACTACAATATCCCTCTTGTGGGTTGACACTGTGAATGTACAATAGAACCCGACTGCAGCACAGAGGTGGCGAAAATTTAGAGGAAGTAAATTTTAGTTCATTTATTCCCATACAATCGTAGGTGAAGTTAAGTCGTAACACGCACACAGTGCGCTGTTTTTCGGGTGACCTAACTGGGTTGGTACCCCAGATACTCACCCACGTTTGTACGCACAGCATTTTTCAGGTGACGCGCTCACATGGAGGTTTGATGGGCTTGTGTTTCAACTCATTTACTTGAATGGTGAGTTAGACCTTCAACGGTCACATCCATGTTGGCCACAAACACAAGGGACAGGGTTGTTGGGACCGAAACAGTTCATCACATACAGCTCAATATTGTACGCATTCCTGTTCAAATGCAGCTTATGGTAGTCATTAGAGATGAACTGCGCTAGAAAAATTCGCATCCCCACATGACGACCAAACCCACAGCGCGACTAAATGTGCACATTTACTGGAGGTCGCTTTCGTGAACAATTACTGCATTTGAATAAGTAAACTGGCGAAAATCCAGCGCACGAATTGGTAATTTGGTGTTACAGGAAGAAAGTGAAAGCTAATGATCAACGACGGGACAGTTGACGGCAGGAGGTAGCCGATTTGTCGTTTACCATAAATAAGCGCATCTCGTGAACTGGATTTAGTTACGACTTTATGCATCTAATTTCAAGCTTCCCCTCTACCAAAGAAATCGAACCAACAAATATGGATTAGATAAATTATCTACGTAGAGTGTTAGAGTGTGACAAACAAAAAGAGGGTTTGTGGAAAACGCTTACTTTTCTTTCCATGAGACTCCATCACCCACTTACGAACGAGGAATCCTCTCATATATTCTCGAGCATTCGTCTCTGCAGCCAGCTAGCGTGAGAAGTGTAGAAAAAGATTAGGTTTCTAACTCGCAGTTATTCAGTACTATCGAGGCGATAGGCTAAAAACACAAGGAACTACAGTACTCTGGATGGATAAACTGAACTGATCGAAAATTGGGAGGAAACAACTGTTGAAAAAGCTTTAAGGGGGAAGCGTGAGTGATCTCCTTTGAAGAGAGGGCCATCCTCAGTTGTTTCTGAAGAGCTGGACCAACATAATTTAAAAGATGCTTGAATAATATACACTGAAAGTATTGGGGATGAATTCTTAGGATGCGAATACCCAAAGGTGTGACTTGTTCTGATCAGTAGTCTAAACAGCAACTGTTCAGGTTACCTATCCTAACCACATGAAGACTCGATGAAAAATCGGAGAATTACGAAGAGCCAAGTTGAAATCGAACAGGAGTTATGTAAGAAGCACGTGCCTACTTTGTGAAAAAATATCATACGAGGCTGTTAGATAATCAACGTAAACGGTGTATAGAAAAAGGTACTGTAATCTGTTAAGGAGTGCCACTTCGATTGATGATTTGGTCCAACTAAAGTCGACGAAGCAGGGTTTGTATGAGTAGACTGGTAGTTATCGAACAAACAAGCAGTTCAGTTCCTTAGACGATGAATACGCCCATGGCACAGGGCGTCAAGATGGAAAAGCTACATTTACAATATGTGTACCAGGATACAGCTACGGTAAAATTAAGAAAAAACGTGACACAGATAATCTATCTTGAATAGCCTAATGGTAAACCGGTAGTGCAGTAGGCAGCTCGAGCTTACTTGAGTAAGGAACACTCAGTAAGAGACTGACATTTAACACACAATTGCTGAACTGAAAACCGACCTTGGATAAGACGCTCATATCTGATAAGTAAGCAAGTTAATTGCTAGCCTACCGATTGCTTCAGAGGGTTCGTGCAGAAAGAATAACGGCCAGTGTAGATAGGACTTCGGTAAATGTTGAGAAAACATAACTAAATCAGTGGACGTTCGACTTAGAGAACACGAAAAACGTGTGCAAACACGAAAGTCGTACGTACGAAGAAAACCACACGATCGATGAGGGAGACGTTTTAGCGATAACATGAGAGATACGCCGTTTCTACTCTTAAAGTTCAAACTAGTTTGCCACAATACTTCAGGAAAGTGTTCTTCTGAAACAACTTTTACTCAAGTAGACCGATGACCATTGGGCTGATCGCTTGACCGTCTTTATACAATGTCTAGTGAATTAACCGACCTCATCCGTTGTTCCCTTTAGAGCACCTCGTCAATAATCAGGCCTGTATTTCAGAACAACTAATCGACCGCGGGAGCTTCTGTAAGGCTTAATAGAGGCATTTGGCTTGCGACCTTCCCATAGTAATCAGACATGAAGTGTCAAGGTAATGCAGAATCTGACTGGTACTCTAACTGGAAGGTCCTCAAGTAACCAATCTATAACTCATTTGCATATCACACCAGCATGAACGGGAGACCCAAACGGACCTCAAAGAGACTTCAAGTATGAAGTGAAGGAAAAAAGGCTGGTCGAAATCCAAAGTCTGTGCCTGCCTGACAGTCCTCAGACATCGGTAGTAGGATGTCAGTGAATTGTGGGTAATTTTATCATACTACTTACAGTTGACCAAATTAAATTTATGCGATCATCCGCCTGATTAGTGACATCCTGATATTTGAAAATACGAGCACACAATAAATACTACCGAATCTTGCAAACAACTGGCTGAGTAAACCCACAGAAAACACAAATAAATCATTCTAGACAGTTGCCACAGTTAAGATGCAGATTGTTGAGTGGAACTAACAACAGCGTTGACGGATATAAAGGAACACAATCCTTTCTTCACTACAAGCAGTGCAAAAAGTGAGTGGATAATACAATGGTATCAAATCAGCGTACAATCACTTACATCAAGGAATGGGCTACTGCCTGATAGCCCAGTTAGTTTGCGTGGGCGGAGTTGAGGAGTTTGTGCGGTGTACATGGTTGCGAGCTGGTTAGATCCAGGTAATCCAGCCGCGGTCGGAGGAGCGAACGGAGCTGGCGAAGAGGGGATCGCATTATTCCAATAAAATGCGGGGACTGATGCAGGAACTTGCGTACCGGGGAACAAAGGCTGCATTGGATGAGGTTGTTGTGGAGACGGACCTGGAGAATACGGGTAGGGGACCATCGAATACGGTCCGTAAGGAGCTGGGTTGAAGCCCGCCGGACTGAACATGACTTGAGCTTGGTTGGGATTTGGGAAATAGCCTTGTGGGGTCACCAAACTAGCGGGTATTGGGGTACCGGGAGCATAGGCACTTGGAGGACCGGGATAGTATATATTCAAATAGCCACCCATCATGTTGGCGTCAGAGCTAATGAGTAATCAGTGGGGAGTAATGCGAAACACAATTATTACTTGAATAGAGCTCTGTTAGTAATCCAGAAAGAAAAGCAACTTTATTAGAAATATAAGTTTGTTCACTCTGGAGATGTCGCCTAATGGAGAACATATAAAACACTTTATTTCCGCGCAGGACCTGAAAGTTTTTCTACCCATGGGCTGCGGCTTTCTCGTATTTTATGAGGATAGACGGGAACGTACGATAATCACAACGGCCATCGTTCTGGTACTGTTGTTAATTTAAAACTCAAGTAACTCAGGAAGAATGATACAAGTTGCCCACAGTTTACATAAGTTACCCAGGCAAGCATTAATAAAGCGGACCAGAATGCGACGAAGAGGATGCATCATCTAAGACCACTAAAGCACCCGCATGTTTTCCATCACAGAAGATGACAGTGATCTTCACTCAGAAATACGGATCTACAAGCCGTTGGCAGCATATGCAACCTGTGCTCGAAGACGATTGGATCAATACATGCTCCGCCCTACCGTTTGTAACATACTGATTTCATTTTGACCAATATGTTTACACTGCGCGAGAAGAATTCAACAAAACTCAACCTCACACCACGGCCAGCACATAGATAAAGACCAGGATGAGCATCTCTAAACAGGGCCTATCCAAAACTGCCTTGTCACGGCGAACATGGTCAGTCGGACAACACAACCAACGTTGAGCCGCGGAGAGCCAACGTAGATTGGCATGGTGTGGTGATATCATATTGTGTTAGGCGACAAGCCGAATAAGCAACCCATCGGGCAATGAACCATTAGTTCACTTCAAAATGGGTCCGGACATGGATGGCCGTTGCAGCTTTTGAACCAGTAAGATGCATTTCCTTCAACTCTTCTCTAAATGATGGTATCAGTGGACGACACTCTGTAGAGCAGTATAATTTTGTTAAATTTTTCGGCCTGTGAACGTCTGTGGCCCGTGTGAGGGTTCAAGCCACATATATTGCAACATAGTACTTTGAGTCGAGCGCAGAAGAAACATATAAACCATACGGAGTACAACCGCGTATCTTTCGATTTTGCTGTGTTGTGTTTAAATGATGAGCTCGTGGTACGAGTAGAAGAGTTGTCAGTACATATCCATCACCAATAACATAAAATACTAAGTGCCTAGAGGACATGGGTAAAAGTTAAACGATCCACACGTCAGGTAAACTGGGTGAGCAATAATTTTCGCCGTTGGTGGCGTCTGCCAAAATGGGGTTTCCATTGTCTCACCGAAAGCACCCGCCCGCTCGAGAACAGCTGACCTGAAGCAATGACATCACCTGGAGAAAAACCCAAAGCGATGTCCAACACCCAGTAAAATTAGGAGAAAGCATTTGTAGTGATTAACCAGACTAACTTACTGAGGCCACCGAATAGGGTCCTGCTTGATCGAATTATACAGTGTTTTCAAATCTTCCCGAGAGAAACAGTCTCCACAATGCACTTGGGCCAGGTTGTTGATGAAATCTTGGCAGGACATTTTTCGTGTGATTGCCTGGTAGAGGAAGAAGGATGGTTAGAGCAAGATGAGCCGGAATTTTCACTTTGCATACATAGTGAGCAAGCGAATCCGAGCCAAGACAGAGAAACGAGTTTGCAAGAATGGAAGCATTTCCGGATAGTATCAGTCAACTGCCGTATCAGTGCTGCGTTAAAAATATGTCTCTAATGCTGATTCGTGAAGTCAGATCAAGGGAGTTTGGTTCGTCCACTGCAAACCATAGAATGAGCAGTGGTTCCTTAAACAAATCCGGTAGGATGATGGTTGGGACTATAACTTCATTTGCCCATGAGTTTACCGAAATACGACGGTTAGTTTGATGTAATGGGATCACCGATTGCACACTTCAGGCATTTAAGATAGTGACGGGATGAATAAACAGAAATATGGAAGACTTCCGGAACGTCAAGTGAACTTGGACGTTTCAGTGTTGGAGAAAATAGCAGGCCCTGGAAGAAAAGTACACGCTTGAATAAAACATCGGAATCGCTCGCGCTCTTAGTTGGCATGGGACCTAGAGGACACTAAAAAGTATGTTGTACTTCAATGGGGAAGATCATTTAGAGTTCTTTGTTGGCAGAGATCCAATATCGCCATCAACAGCACATCAGTACTCGAAACTGATGCTTCACTGCCAAAAAGCCATGGTTCATTTGACCGTGGAAAAACAAAAGGGGATGAAGAAGGAAACTACAGGTAACGAAATATCTGCACTTCCGGACACTCATTCAGACAATCGGGATAGAAGATGACAACAAGGATGCCATCGACATTGATCAGCAGCCACAACCTGCGGCACCTCAAACCATATGAGGTAGTTCAAACGGACCCCTTCCTAGAGATTCGGTCGGACTGACAATGCGCATACGTTTCTTAATCGCCAAAGATTGACCACCTATCTGATCAAGCAACTAGTAAGGCAGATGCTATGTTTCATTAGGATGATGCAATCCACCGTTCCACAGATGCTATGAACACATTACCAGAGACAGTCCCAGTCATGACGTACTTGTGAGAAAATTCATCCAAGTAGTGAATCTTGGTTGAACGTTTGAACACAAACCTCCACTTCATGTAATAATTAAGGGAAATAATCTTCCTCTACCTAAATTACAACTTTTTGGGGTCCTGATTTTGCACACGCTTAGGGTGTGACTGTGTACGAGGGCATGCAGGTAAACGGACTGTAGATAGATAGTGGATAGTCGTTCAGCTGTAACACCCTATCGGTGCCTATCTGCCATGCCACCCGAAGGAAGCACGAGGACAGGTATACTGCCATGTTGCCCAAGCTTAGAAAGGGTGAGTCGAGAGGCAGAAGCCGGGTTCGAACCACGGATTTTTCGGCTAGTAACTTCGCGCTCTAACCAGTGAACCAACTCGCACCCCAACGGACGGCATTCCTCATGAATCTGGGCACCTGTCAAAGCAAGCAGGAACCCTACAAGTTTGCAAGCGAATAGGGAGAGAAAAAAAGCCTCAGAATGAAAGTTTAGACGGCGGTAAAATTAGATGAAGGAATAACAGCTGTTTAGTAGCAATCGAGTACTAAAACTGACGCTATTGGTACTAAATACTCCGCACAGCCTAGCTAAACCAAAAGTTAAAAACTTGCGATTGTCGCTCAAAACAGGTAAATTAAACAACGGATTTTCTAAACTTAGAAAAAGTTGAGGGAGGGGTGGTTGAGTTGCACTGACACATGGCAAACAAACAAACAAACAATTAAGTACCATGCATCAAAGTGCACCGGTTCCAGCTGACAAAGTTTTGTTTACCGGAATCACGGAAAGCAGAGCGGGGAGAGCCAGAATGTGAAGTAGACAGCTTGCACCAGTTTAGTGCCACTCATAAACTGTCGGTCCGAAATTCTGAGATCTTACTTTTATTGAATGGGAATAACAAACTGCTATTTGTTGAAAGAAAGGTGCAAAAGGATTATGACTGTGAAGATACCTAAGGTGATGTCAATAAAAACGCGGCGAAAGTTGCCGGTCATGGACTCCACACATCGTTGGCAAATCCTCAACTGATCGGCTTTGCATAGTTTCAACTGCACATCTCAGCAAACAGACCTCTGCGGAACCTAACTGTATGACTCCACCACCTTAACCAATGGGATCTGATCAGTGATCTGTAGTGGGTAAGACGCTTGTCCAGAAATCCAACCGAAGTACCCCACCATTACTGATTAGAAGTGTCCGTTGGGCTAACGCAATAATTCGCATGCACTACTATCGCTTGTCTTGTGCTCACTGGCCACGATTCTAACCAGTAAGAAAGGGTCGGATGTATTGCAGGGTTGTGTAACTAGCCTTATAGAGACGACCGTGGTTTCTCGGTGCTGCAAAACTCGTCGTCGGATTGCTTACCGAAACCAGTGTTGTCGACAGATCAGATAAACCTGATGAGTACATCGAATGGAAATCGGGAAAGATGGATTGGTCCACTGCACTGAATCCACTTGGCAATCTTTTGTTCTCGCAGTCACTAATCCAGACTGTTAGTCTACCAGGTCATCATCCACATAAAAGTCTGAATGACAGAACCCGGCCATGCCAAAATCGACTTGTGTCTCAGAGCATGAGACGGGACCTAATGGTGACTCAGCGGACACGGGTACATAATGTTGGTATAGGACACTGGTTGCCACTCTCCCACAATCAAACTGAGTGTGAAACCACCGTCAGCTTATTTGAAGGGTTTATGCTTCTTCGCTCAATCGACAGCAAACCGTTCGACTTCCTCCCGTAGCGCAGGGCAAATGACTCAACCGTATCGAGGATGAGTAATGCGGTAGGATTGTGTGAGTGTGCGGATAAGAGTGGCGCTGAGTTTAGAAGGCAATCTGGAAATCGGTGAGTCGCGTGAACAGATATGTTGGATATGTTGGATAGTGGGTCCGATAGAAAACTATAACTGCTGTTTCATAAACGAAAAGAAGCTCTTGATTAGTGTATTCGCGTAGGACAGGTGATGTAGCACTTACCGGATTGTGCAAATCGGTGTTCAATAGCATTAGTGCACAAACCAAAGTATGACAAACATCTGAAAACGAAATGGGAAACGTATATGTAAAGGGTGAACCATATGAACTGTGGATTCTGGAAACTCGTATGGTAATCTGGAGAAACCAGCTGATTAGGTTGACAGAAATAACCAGTCATGAACCCAGTGATTCAAGATACGGATACAACGTAGTTGATTTGAGATAACTAGGGTTTTCTTTTTTAAACGATGCCACTAACCCTCGTTTCCACAGAGACACACGCAGCTCCAGAATATTTGACCAGAAAAATTCTACGGAGGTAGCCAAATACGTGTATGCGCTAATTTGGCCAATTAGTCAAAATGAAGTCGTTTTATAGGAGCAGTTGGGAAGAGAGAAATGCTGCTCTGACCAATCATGGTCCGAGGCTGATAAAATCGTTTCGGGTGCATGAACCATGCACCATTCTACCATTGCGCCAAAATGTTCATTTTACTTGCGATTGAGAGCAGGAAAACCAGTTGCTGCTTTTAGACCTTTTGATCATGCGGAACGCTGATAAGTCCATTTCAGGACACGTCTAACGTATACCAGTGGACTGAAAATTACATGAGTTTCGAGATTCTATTTGGCAGAAAACAAACGGTTTTTCATCCATACCTTGATACACACCATAAGTATGGGACATTCGGAAACCCAAAGGACTACAGTCTAGTCACTTGGCAGAAGATTTTTACCAAAAAAGGCCAGCCTGAAAAGCATGAAACAGTCACAGTGATCAGAAAAACAATCATTCTTCGCCTCACAAACTGGGAACAACGCAGAGCAGGATACAGCGTTTCTCAAAGCCAGACAAGCGTTACGCCCCAGAAAGACATGTGTGGCCTAGAAATCAAAGTTATTCTTGCTTGTAGAGGTAACCTTGAACAACGAAACCAAAGTGACCTTCTTCTTGGACGAATTTTAACACCGGAATATGTTTACAGAAACGAACTACGAGTAGCCTTTCATGAGTTGCAAGAATACCGTACGGGCAGTTTTTTATTGAAAATGAGTTGACCATACCTTACTCAGATGTGCTACAGGAACTACGGTGTTGTTTCTATATCTTTTACTACGTCTCACGCGTAAGTCATTAGCATGTGAAATGAAAGAAAAAAGGGGAAAAAATACGGCACAAATCACTTTACATGGCAGTATCCTTTGTGGCAATGGTTCTAGAGACAAACCAATCCGCACTAGTTCCAGATGGGGACTGACAAGGTGTTTAGAGCAGAGAACCACCGACTAAAGGACATGTGCCTCTAACAGTTTCCTCTACTGAATACAGAAGAGAATGTTTCAGAAACCACAAAAAACAAGCAATTTACAAACTAAAGCTCGCCGACGGAGACCGGGACTCACCTTCGGATTGATAAGCCTCCGGATTGCATGAAAGATAGCGTCGAGAGAAGTGAAAAAGTATACGTTCACGCTCTTGAGTTTCACCGGTCAAAGAGAATGTGTTTAGAAACGATCGAAGAGCTGCGTCCAGACGTTGGTTTGTAAAATCGAAAAAGCTCGCGAACTCTTCACCGACGAGTTGACTGAAGTCATTACTATAAGGAAAACGAATACACACAAACGCTGAATAATAGGACGAAATCACGGAAGTTTACTGTACGATACACTGTTCAACAACTGAAGATCAAGTGGTAGAATTTAAGAATACGATTTAATTTACTGTCCGGTATCACTTATTCGACGTCAACTTAGATGAACAGTGAAAGGTTGAACTGTAAGAGCAATCCGAATGAGAGAGTAAAAACAAGTAGGCAGCAGTGAAACATATGGCAATAAGTCTTCTGACAACGACCGCTGGCAGAAACCTGAGAAAAATTCGCACTAGAGGAGTGGACTTCGTAGAGTATACCATCACCCGACGCTCGGGGCACGTGAACACATCATTTAAAGAAACAATCTACACATCGTTTCAGAAAGATTCGGTGAACAATCCGTGGAACTATTCCTGTGTGACGTTCCACTTTTCACCCAAAAAGGAGTTGGCCGCGACAGTAGTCATTCCATACAAAACAGGCACATCCATTGGGATGTCCCAGACCGGAAAAGGAAGGCTGCAAAATACAGATTCAACATGAAGGCAATCCTCCCCCTTAACCAATCTATCGTACTTCAGACAGACACCCAGCACTAATCAAGTCGGTTAGTCATAAGAAATCCCATAGATTGGTTCCCTGATTGCTTGTAAACCCGAACGACCTGGTAACTTACTCACTTGGTCTACGAAGCTTTCTGGTAACTTACTCACTTGGTCTGACGAAGCTTTTGTGTGAAAAGCGAAACGTTGCCAAGCAATAAATCCAAAGATTGTTTACCTGAAGTGATGACTAGCCAAGCGGTCCCCAACATTTTCCAACGGAATTATCAATATACAGGTGACATGGAGAGGAAATCACCATAGCAAGCCATGGTGGGACCCACTCTGCAAAGGTCAGCTAGGAAGTGGTGGAACAACTAGGTAGCCGCTGTAACGGTTCTACTATGGATGAATCAGTTTCAAACTCCTCAAATACCTCCGAAACCCGCACATTTAGTTGATGAGTAGAAAAACTAACGGTATCTAGTCAGTTAATAAGCTCAGGGATAGGCGGAATAAGCAGAAAAACCTGGTTGGGGTATGAAGCCCAACTTTGTGACCTGAGATGTATGTGAAGCAAAAGATCTAGTTTTCGGGGTCGCGAAAACTGAGGGCCAGACCCCCAGCACACTATATAATGATTTCGGGAATTGGAATGTCTCGCGGAGATATTCTCTCATATTCTGAGTTTTCTGATGACGCTATGGGGGGTAGTTGCATATGAAAGTGAACAGCCCAGAACAGCACTAACGTAAAGCTTAAGCTTGACGAAAATTCTGGGACTGCGCCTACCCGATGAAACAAAGAAAGGATAAACTGGCCATAAGCCGTAGGGAAGATCTCAGCAACCTTGTGAATAGCGTTCTGTCAAGCAACAGTATTTTACTACGCTCCACCAGAATTGATGGCAACATCAGTCCTAAACACTGGAGCTTCACTGACTTGCAGCCGGTTGGTTTTGCAACTGATGGTTCTGCGTGGTCTGCAATAACGAAGGAGCAAATTGGAGCTGCTAACAAAGCTTTTGGCCCAATGGTCATCACTGTCATCTTCAGCTATAAACCACCTGAATGTTACACTGCGGTTACAACTGCCAAAGCTCCGTTGGCCTGTGATCTGTAAAGATAGGGGTGGGCAGCTGAGCACTGGAAGCAGTAGCTGACACCTGGATCCAAGACTAACAGAGGACTTTCGATTGGGGAGGTCGAGAGAAGCAACGGCGTGGATGCAAGCGTGCCACTGAGAGGGACCGGGCAATGTTCGCCGTGTGTGTACCGCCCATCGAAGGAGACGATAATGATCAGCGCAGCCAAGTCACTGCTCGACCTCCCCTGGCTCGTTTCCACCCTGAGCCTGTGCGAAAAGTTATGGCTGACCAAGCATGTTCTCAAGTGTACTCATTCCCTCCCAGCGAACGACCAATATAAACGAGATTATCTGTCTGAGTTACACAAGACTTAAGCCACAGAAGATGTGAATAGGTGAAGTAACCTGCAGCTTGTGCATGCAGGACAATATTTTATTACGCATTCTTTAGGTCAAAACTGGAGATGATTCACCGCAGCATCTCAACAGAACTTGTGAAAAGTTGAGGAAGTTTCGTATAGATGACCGACCAAAACTGCCAGCTTGATGTGATGGCCAGGGTTTGATAAGGTTACCACCATGCGTCAATTTTCCATACTACGAGTGGTCGTAAGAAAAAACGGTTTGGGGGTAAAGTAACACCGTCCTCGGTGATAGTGGTCTTACGTTAGTAGGGTTCTACCTCTAGCAGGGAAGCAGCAATGTTGTTTTCCACGAAAAATGATGGGTTACAGAAAATCAGCCCCAAAATCAGCAAATTTCAACCGCCCAACGGTTGGCCCTGACCACCGGCAAATGGGCCAATAGAATAGTCAAAATTTACGAAGAGCTCGAGGTGGCCTCAAACCCATTTCCTATATGCAGCAGCACCATCAGTGAGAGACCACTGCTTCTGAACCGTCAAACTCCTTGGTCTTCCCAGCAGCCAAGCAGGTAAGTCTGTTGAGTCTCCGGATGCAGGTAGGGTCCCTCAAGTAGCCCATACTACCAGCTGTTTATAGGACCAGACTTCAGTCAAATACTCAAGCTGGAATAAGTCAGACAAACCTGCTTCTTCGATCTGAGGAATTGGGTGAAATCATTCGCTTTGCAGCCATCCCACCAACCCTTTCTTTCACTCGTAACTATTCCCATTCTCCGGATCTTTCCGCAGCTGATCGCCTATCTACTATTGCGTTTCTAAACCACTCTTCATTCTCATTGTTCTGTCATCTAGCAGATGCTGCTCGGTAAGATATGGTGGAAAAGTGTCAAACCGAACACCCCGAAACAAACAAGGTATCATAAAATTGCATTTTACTTCGCCACACAAAGTGACTGACCTAAGCAACGATGCAAAAGCAAAGTCATGTACTATTCTTGGTGCGAACTTGGCGATGTGCCCCACAAAATTCGTAGGGTATAAAAATGGAAATCAGACGAGCGGAACCTTAAATGTTAACCTTGGCATCCAGTGTGCCCAAGTTCAGTGGCAGCGTGGAAAACAGAGAAGACGGGAACACGAGTTTTCTGTCAAAGTGTACTGATCTGGAGCTGGTACATTCTAAATTCACCACACAGCCTCTCAGACACAATGCGGTTTGGGAGAAAGTACACGCAGTGCGCTGTGACAAACAGCTGACCACGTATCTATCCGGGATAAGAAAATGTTACTGCAGAAATACCACAATTCGCGCCAGCTGCTAGTGCGAATAGTGTCCAAAATCTGTCTCAGAAACGAGGTTGGCTTTGGTGAAACAAAGAATTTTATGATATCTCACCGAAGTATCTCGCTGAACTGATCGATTGGGATAGAAATTTTAGTAGACGGAGGGACAAACTGTATCCTGCTACCGATTCTGATGATTTAGAGTTCGCATCAAAGGGAAAAGCACTGGACTCAAGCTTCGCTCACCAGGTTAATTGTGCCAAGGCAGGAGAAGGATTGTTCAAACAAGAGTGATGTGAATTCTATAAATCACACCACCGCCTACAAGTAATAAAGAAACTGTCTAGCAGGTTCAGGACATCTGTAGAGCTACCTGACTGCAAGTTCACAACAGGCGGGTCAATAGATTGACACAGCCAGGGAAGTTACCGGGTCGTCGTTAGGGCCAACTACATCGTTTAAGTGTGAGCATGTCTGCCTGTTCAGACGTGATAATTCAGCTGCTATCGGACCCCTACGTAGTTTGTAGATCACACTGGGTAACGGCAAACGTGGGTGCGTTATTCATAGTTGCCCTTCCTGTTCGAATACTTATTAACGGTGCCTCTGCGACTCGACAATATCTCAGACCTCGGGTTCTTCATGAGTGTGAAAGAAACGTAAAAGCTGAGCTGGAAGTTCGATATGGCTTGAGGGCTAGGAATTGAAATTCAAACAGAAAAATCCATGCCTCACGCCCAATGGCTTTTCGACTGCTGCTGCTGTGCAGACCTCAGGCACCCGACGTTGTTATTCCTTGCAACTCAAGCTGCATAATATCTACTCAGAGAAATGGCAGAAAGCTGTGCACAAAATGTATTTAACTTGGATTTCGGGTACAGCTGTTTGGGGCATCAAAGCTAAACGCAGGAAGAAACATGTTCTGATACTACACACCACGTCGCTGGAGGAAACGCAGTAGATATACGTGATAAGCCGAGTAACGAGCACACTGTCAAACTCCACATGGGATCTCAAGAGAAATCAATATTACATTGGCGCAATATAGCCATCCAGAGGTGCACAGCATGAGAAAAATGACGGGTGTCTAACACGAAGTTTTGTATCCAGCGGTATAACGCGAATATCAAGCCACGACAATGACGACGGCACTCAGTTCTAAGAGCGGGCGAATAACTAAAGAACTGTGGTTCCAATTCGGAAAAAAATACGGACAAACGAAAAACGGATCCACGCGCGGAGGCCAACGGCTGATAAATCCAGAGTCCTTGGTATTCCAAGCCTTGAAAGATTTTACGAGTAAATAGAGGATCTGCCGATAAACACTGAGTGAAAACAACATTATGCTTTAATTCCGGCTAATTCGTATGCGGTACAGAACTGTCCTGCTGACCTCATGAATCGCGAAACAGTGTCTTGGGTTTGCTCCTTTCTTCCAAAGTTTTCCCACTATCGGAATTTGTCGAAAAGTCCTTGCGCGACCTGTCGTTCATGTTTCAAACAAACGACAACTGTCATGGAAACTGGAGTCATTCCCATACGATACTGCTGTTCTGCTCAGCGGTTAGGACGCCAGCTTACGGACCGGAAGGTCTGTGGTTCGGACCCCACTACAGCACCTCCACTAATGCTATTTAGGCTTGGGCAACTTGGCAGTACCTGAGCTCCCAAGCCTCCTTGCGGTTGCTGTTCAGCATCAAATGCTGTAAGAAGGGTTGATTGCAGAGGCGACAACCGATCTGCGCCTCTGAACAGGTCCAAAGATCTAGTGTATGTGCCGTAATGTGTCTAACATAGCGTCCGCCTGAAAATCAAAAATGGTTCGTCAAATCCCCCCCGTCACGGGAGAAACCGACTGCCTGACCAGATTATTAGTTTGAAGCCCCACTGAGATGGAAAATACGACTTTAATCAGGAATTGAGTCGAATGGAAGCCTTGCTTACTGAGTGCCATAAAATGTTTGAACACCACCTTTCTACCTCGATTGTTCCATGTGGATGCCCTAGGTTCGTAGCAATCGCTCTGGAGATATCTGTCTTTTTGACAGGCTTCTATCTCAAGCCAAAAAATCGGGAAAGGAGACTTCTTTCCATCATGAATGATCTGATTAGCAGAGAACTGCTGTACACTCATGTTTTGGTAGCGGCGTTTCGCAAAAGGTAACGGGTGAAAATCGATTTGATTTCAGTTATGTGCAAGTGAACAAAAAGTCGAAACCTTATCACAAGCTTCATCCAATCGGTGGCTGTAGTAAGTGAGGAAGGTGCAAAAGCCGTCATTGAACGTCAATAGTGATTAAATCAGCAAACTCGGGACTCGTTGTGCGAGACAATCTGAAGAGCAGGACTAATAAAAGCGCTTCATCAGTGTGTTTAGTGATAGCGTCGAATCCATTTAGAACAATACAACGACGAGCATTCCACCATATCGGCTGGAACGAAAGAACAATAGAGTGACACTCTGTCCTGATGAGGCTTAAATACGAGTCTAAGTGACACTTCTGGCGAGAGTAGACACGATTAGTGCTAAGGGTGTTCATCTAACATCAACAAATGGCATAGCAAATAAGTGATACGTCAGTTCCGGGACAATATACCACGGGCTGCTCCTAGGTCATACACTCGAACCGAGCCCATGAGTCCAACACAGCAAATGATATCGGAAATCCAAAAACACTTGTGCTAAGTGCTGTCGCACGCTGTGAGCACCAAATGGAGTCCAGATACAGTGAACCAACAGGCCCACCTGGTACCCGATGCACAGAAACTCAGGTGGCTGGAATCAGCTTTCAGGCTTGCCTGCTGCCACCTGGCGCCTACCGTGGAAAAAAGGTGATTCCATCAGTGGTTTGAACGAAGTCGTATGTGAAACCTGCCGAATATTTTGTGGCCTAGTCTAAACCGGAAGAAAAAGGATAACGGAGTGAAAAACAGATAGCCACAAAATTATCTTAATTAGCGCCTGGTTAAGTTTCATTTTCGTCCCAATGGTTGAAAAGCTGAATCACCGAGTACGTGGAGAATAAACTGATAGCTCTTACCACTAGCAACCTAAAACGAACGCAGGCACACAACTAAAACTGGGGTCCATTAGGGAGAGATACATGGTCGTTTAACCCGCGTCAGGTAACTGGAAAACATAACTGTCTCGGTCTGAAGTTTCTTTCAGGCATTTGAATGCTTGGACCAGCAGTGACAAGACCGGTACAGATATTCAGACGACGCCAGACATCACAACACGCATGCAATTGAAAGAAAACACCGACCACGTCCCAGCAACGTTTTCCAAATTCCACAATTTCAAAAGGCGAAAAAAGAAATCAGTGAAAGTGTGCGTTAACTAAGGGACAGGGTTCTTCTACTACAAGAGTCGAACACATTTGAACAACATCAAGGAAAAAAGAACAAAGAAAGCTAAGACTGGCTGTAGATAGGAGCGTCCAAAAACAAATAAAAATGGCTAGTGGAACCACATAACGTTCGGGGAAAAGTGACACGAATAAGCACTGGGCAATGGGCGGACAGTGAATTCTCGCGCAAGATAATGTCACCCCATTTAGTGGCTTTGAGAGACAAAAAAAGGTAAAATTTCCGGGTGGAGGCTTTAGAGGTGCGTACATTATTGCGGATTTTATGACTACTTAGCAAGCCTGTTCTGGTCTGCGAAATGTAGCTGTACAGCCACAAATTTGGACACAAAAACATGAAAACTTTCGAAAATAAGGAACTATTTTTGTCGGAAAACCTAAGCCAAAGTGATTGATTTTCGTCCATTCAAATTATATCGATGACCGGCCAATCACGAAAATTAAGGAACTGATCGAGAGAAAAGTTTGCTGGATTTATCGCTTGGCAGAGTATTTTTTGGCATTGTAGCCTCATCACGTTAGTGAGTAAGTTACTATGTCGAAATACTTACTAGGGTAGGTAACCATTATTCAAGGAAGAGAAACGAGTATAAACGTGAGCTACCGTAATGTATCCAATTTCGTTCCCTGTTAATCAGACTGAACCACACCATATCCTAGAAAGCGAAGTTTATTGCAGCTAACGTAAGGGGAACCAAGAGGCCCACGCATAGTGTGTTTTCGGCGACGCGGGCCACCCCATCACATCAAACAAGAGTAAGCATATCGGTCCTTGGTGAGGTATTGTAGTGGCTACTCAGCGAGAGGATAGGCAGAAAGGAAGTGATTAGTAAGAAATGGAGCAACTGGTTTACACCACCACCGAAAGTACACGCAAAGGGGAATAATTTTCCCAAGCGTTTGAGTACACATGGATTGTTAATGCTCTGCAAGTAAAGACAGCCAAATAAATCAGTGTTTCTGAGAGCAAGCCAATAAATTATAGAAGGATACGCCACAACGCCCACACAAACGAGTTAGACAATGGCTTGGTTCGGAAAATCTCATATGAAATTAAGAGGACATAATGTAAGGTTGCCTAAAATAGTGTAATTAATGACTTCAAAGCACGTTATCGTGCCGTCCAATGATTCGGCTAAAGCGGCCTGCGAAAATGCCGAAACCGGTTGTCCACCAGAACGACAATACGAGTATTTATTCATGATGGTCTAACTGAGTGAGTTGTCCCCCAGACGGAACTCAAGGTTTTATTATTGGCATTGTCACCTAGTAGTGGTCATTTTTATTGTGCAGTGAATGGAACAAAAGTGCATTCCGACGGTCTATGCATCCCATCATTACCTTCAATTATCTACAATCACGTCGGATTAAGCACCGCAGTGTTCCACCGGAAGTTTCGGCCCCATCAAACAGTAGTCATTATTCAACATGGTCAAAATCATATTGTGTACCCAGTTTATTCGGGGAAATTCATGTGCCTCAATAATCTGCTGCTGGTTTCTACTTCGATGGAAAATGAATATCAATCAGAGGATGATCCTGGTTAGGATGGTTCAAGAACAAATACTATTGGATATGACTTCACATAACACCCGCATTCGAATCTGCTTTCTGCAAAATAGTTGCGTTACGGTAAAAAAAATTGGTGGAGTGGTAATTATTTCGCGGATTATATCATGCCCGGGCCACCTAGATAGACCGCTATTGTACACAAATACATGGTATCCCCGTACATTCTTCCTTTCTACGTAAACTTCCCAATGACAGTGATCTCAGCTCAGTGGCTACGAATGAGCGTATGTTGTCGTTAGACAACACTCAATCGCTCTATCGTTCCATCAAGTTTATTTAAAGTAATTCACAATCATAAGAAGGTGAGTTGAGCGTGATATTTTTACCTGCGGTTTCGTTGGAATCGAACGCACAGTCAGCTGCCAGGATTCTAGAATGGGCTCCATCTGAGCGCCTGCCCGTAGAGTTGCGAAATGAATTTTGATAGTTTTCGCGGTAAGAGTGGGTAATGTGCCGTTAAGCAAGAAAACTAATTTGTGGTTCGCACCATAAATGAAGCCGAAAAAATCGAGGTTCGACCGCGGTCATTAAGTTACGTCCTAATGGTGTTATGGCAACAACCCCCGGATAGCGTTCACAGGGTGAGGCCCGCAGTACAGGAAGTGTAGTGGGGATTGACCAACGAAACTGAGATAACAGCAGACATGGCCTTGGTTAGGTCGACTCGACTTCCTGGCTTTGAGGTAAGAAGTGGCTCGTCTTTAGCGGATACGGCCCGGGATCGAAATTGGTGTAGTTCTTGTTGCTCCACTTGCTATCACTTCTTAATTCATACTTCTTTTTTCTAGCCTTTTAACGCAATGAATCTTCTGCGGGCCGAAAGACACGCGAAGTGGACACGTACGGGAGATAGAAAGGAAGTAGTGCGTGACTGTCGATCATTTAACATTGAGGCTAAAGCGAGGAAAAAAATCACCAAACAAGAGCCCCTTAGCAGACATGTCAGTCAACCAAAAACGAAATGGACAGTATGGGGTCGAACAAAAATATGACATACCGCTTCCCTAAGTGCTTCGCCACATCGGTAACACGAAAACCATCGAGATTAAACAAGCGCTTCGCCAACCGGGACGCTGCTCCCCTATCCGCAGCTTTCGGGGGTTGGTGGTAAATCGACTCAGCGATAGATTCGTTGTCGGACTCAGAATCAGACAGTCGCACAAACATGTCATGTAACCTATTTGAATCTTGGTCCAAATCGGAGGTGTAAGCAAATCCGTTAGAAGCACAAGATCGTGGAGGGGTCGCGGATTCTGGCGAGTTGGTGAGTCGACGTCGGTAGTTTAGAGTTTTCGGTGACAGCCGAATAGCTTCGGGATATACGGCCGCTACCTCATCTTCGTCCTCCTCTTCCGTCCCATTGAGCTCACTAAAACCTGATTGGGTTCCATTGAGCAGCTGATTACTTGGATCTGTGGCATTAGTAACCTGAGGGAGGGTAAATAAAATAACTGGATGAAGGCCATGTGAATTTGAATTCAATTTGAATTCAAGCAGAACACAGTTTTGACGGAAAATCGGGGACTGAGTAGTAGTTTTTTTTCATGAGAGGGAAATCGGATGCTTGATTCCGTAAACAGATGTTCCCATATTGTGTGCACATATTCACCGAGCAGGGACGAGGCGTCCAAACTCACACTAAGAACCGCACCCTGGTTCGATTCCACGTCAGATTCAGTGCAGACAAAACTGCATAAATCTAATTTTTCACAAAAGCCTACACAACCGATAAGTCCTAGTATCAACAACAAATTACTCAGAATAGTAAGAGAGTACCGACAGGGTCCGACAAGACCCTGTATCAAATAACTCCAGCCCAGATGAAGAAAGGTGGCAAGATGTCTCAGGTGGTTAGAGCGCGGATTTACTAACCGGAAGGTTCGCGGTTTGAACCCGACCTATGCCCCTCAACTTTTCCTGTCTGGGCTTGGGCAACCTGGCGGTATACCAGCACTCGTGCTTCCCTCGGGTAGCATGGCAGCTAGGCACCGAAAGGGCGTCACAGATGAACAGTTTTTTTAAGCAGTTTTAAATGAAGAAAGACAAAAAAGAACGAACTGCACGTCGAGTAACTGTCCCATGCGAAGACAAGCAGAATTTTCTAGCAAAAGGTATATGAGGGCTCCACTTCAGTGAAGACAATTACAGGATCAACACTGGGTGTTCCCCGAAAAAGAGATTTGTTGGCGCAAAACACACAACAAGTCAAAAAAGGATCCTTTCGAAAGACACCCATGTGATGAGCTTTTCTTACACACGTGCAGTGCGGTGAAAGATACAGACAGAAATCGATTAAGTCGAATAAAGTTACAACTGCACACATACGAAGAAAGTATATGTGACAACGGGTACTATCTAGATAATTTTGCGATTTCACATGGGTGGAGATCACGCCCTTTGAGTCATTCACAGCCGATTTGCGTAGCCTCCCATTTCTAAAACAGACGTAACCTTTCAATTAATGAAAGCAAAGGAAATTCACTGCACGTAATAACGAACAAACTAGATCAGTGATTTCAAAAAGCCAGTGATTCGGCGTGTGCGTTCGCGTCTGTCCAACGTGTTTACGGACGTGTACCTCGACGACATCCAGCCATCAGTTGACTGAACCACAGTAACTAGACATGACCAACACCGGTCAACTTGACTGTCCGGCAAATCGTGATTTCGCGTGTCTGGCAAGAGGAAGGTGGCCGCCATGGGATTGCGCCAGATGCAGTGTCAGGCTTGGCGAACTTGGAATAGACGTGGTCACGTGCAGCTGTACGTATAGCTGGGTGCGTGCATTGCAGACAAGGAGTACGACGAAACTGAAGAGTTATTGTAGACAAAACTACTGTTAATGGTACGAAGCAAGCCTTGGTCGATGCGGTCTCAAGTACCCGTCCAATTCGCCAAACAAGGACATCGTTAAATTTTTTGGCAGTTGACAGCAAGGTCAGTGTTCTAGTTGAGCTTTGGAAGCTTTGAAATTGATATGGTGTTGAGCGAAATACACCATCCATTATGGAAAATCATCGGCCAGAAGGAGAATGGTTACGGCAAGTTAGCAAATGGCAACAACCAGACTGGCAACGAACATTTTGGTGGATGGTCGGATACCCAATCAGAGGGCAAGTGTGACACCAAACACTCTGAGTCCAATCCGAATCACGTAAATAACGATCGTATGGGGGAACTGTCTTGCTCTTTCAACCCGAGTTACTTGTGCAGGCACTCACAGTCAGCTCAAGTAAAGGGGGACTTCTGACTACGTGGAAAAACAAGTCGCGCACCATAGGGTGTGCATTCCACGGTCCCCTCCGAGATAGGTACTGCTCAGAGCCCCAGGCATCCGAACTCTAACTTGGACCATGGAATCAAAATGACCAAGTAAGAAGCAATCAATCAACCTATGGAGTTCAAAGAAGAATGGGGATTTCAGCAGCGCAGAGTACGCGGACGGCACTATGCTACTAGTATAGCTTCGAAACCGATATTCAGTAGTTCATGTTTGTGAATTCCCATCCCGGACGAAAATATTGGTTACATCTAGTTTTACACGTGGCACTTAACAGCTAAAAATATAGAGTTTCTGAGCACATCATGAGGAGCCAACGTAATTCCCCTACCCCAGTAAGTGTCGAGGCTGTTGGCCTAAAAACCGAGATTCTCTCTTCACTGACATTAACACAGCTAACGCAAGTCTGTAGTGTTTGAAGATCACGACTCTGGATGACAATCATTCACACAAGACTGTGAGTAAAGTCGAAACAATTGGTAGATGAAGTACAAACAAGACCATGTTGACTAATTAACGGGTCCAACTATAAGATGCGGATCACGGGCAAAAACAACTCAATACCCTTCGACACCCTTCCTTCTTTTCCATTTAGAGTATTCAAATGTTGAATTCTTGTCAACCACTTCAGGTGCCAACCAACCAATGACCAAACCTGTTGTAACAAACATAGAATCCAGAAAAATAGTGGAGTGGGTGTGAAACTACTACAAACGAGGGGTCACACTCCACAAGAGCACTGCTCTTGAGTATAGTGGTCTAGGTGTATGGTGATTGATTCGGTGGTGCTGGTTATGGTCACCATTCGGCCATGTGGTGCTAGTGGAAACAATAATTTATCCGAGTCGATTGGAGGATGTTACACATATACGCGTGTTAGACATGGGGAAAAATAACGGCACACAGGGAAACCAAGAGGTGTGACGACTTGGAATTTGGCTCGGTTGAAAACGTTAGCGTACGACTTCCCAGTCATTCTCCCTAGAAATAGCATCCAGCAGTCCATGTCATTTAACAACCTGTGATCAATGTGATTACTTTTCATGGCGCGAAATCAGTCAGTTATATTTGTTGATCTGCCCTGCAGATCCATGAGCTCTGTCGAAGAAAAACACAACTGTATGCAAGGAAGGACGATTCTAGTCTTGATTTGTTTGTTAAACCTGCATTCGCAAGGTTACGTTTCATGTTAGACACCGGGGGAAGCTCAGAGGTCGGATTCAGAGGTGTGTGATATTTTAGATTCTTCATGGTCTTCTATAGGCTGAACAACATTCTGCTAACGTCAAATGTTGCTCAAAAACATGTGCAGGTAAAGTTGAACCTCAGATTAGTGTACAGTGAAAAGTCGCCAAAGTCTCCAAAATATTCCTCCAAGATTTGTGTTGTGCGGTCAAATCAAACCTAGTTTTCTTGATTTGGTGCTATTGGTAGTGAGACGAATCACGTGTTTGCAGGTTATAAACATAAATACCAATCGATGAGATCACTGAACAACAGAACACTGGGATGTGTTCAGGTTCAGGCAGGAAACTGGAAAACAGCCAATAAAAATGACCGCACCGCACCGTCTCCTTGTTTGGCAAGAAATACACGGTGTCTCAAAGCAGTTTGTGCCTGCGTGAACAGCCGTTCCGCATGTCAAGTGTCAGGTTTCCGAAAGATCTGACGTGAAAGTTGCGGTTTTCCAAATTACCTAGCCACCGTCTAAATAGAAGAACTCAAGACGTCTACGGCTGTAAATTCCATCCTTTATCCGACCACAAACAATTTATTTTGGGATGTTAGTTTCAAGTGGCTAAGCCATCAGAATTGGTGTTGAATCAGAATGCATTCAAATTACTCAGCTCTTCAAACAGTTTCGGTCTGTCCACGGTTCCAGATGATTTGTGCAGGCAAAGTCGGACAAAAACCCGAAAACGTCGACTATCCAGGTTCTACGGTCTAATGATAAAGAGGACAACACCATAAACCGATACGCATCAACCTAGCGTAAGACGACACATTTGGTGTCAACAGCGAGTAAGGACCGCATCGATAGTCACTGGCCCCAGGGGGTCGACATCCCTTAAGTTCATACCGTTGCCTTGCGGGTGTGCTTCTTCAAAGGGACCGCTCGGAAACCCCAAAGCTAACCTCTACCAAATCAGACAAACGGGATGCAATCTACCGACACAGAAATCACGGCTATCAGTAAGTCCCGTTGTCTGACACCTAATTGATAGGAGAGCAGTGGGATGCATACAAACTGGCCAACAATAATTTTCTGTATTCTGCTCTAGAAATTCATAAGATAATCCTCTCTACCCAACCACGCATTCATCCGACTATCAAATTTGTTCCTCCGGTGAATTCCACAACCAAGGAGGGAAATTTCTAACAATGCCGAAGCTAAATGTCAACCAAATGACAACCAAATACTCAGTTTTTCAAGGTTGTAGTTCATACTGTTCGGTTGTTAAGGCAACTCGGTAGGCAAGCCGTACCGGCCTAAACAATGGACTGCTAAAATCGATTAACATTGTCTCTCTGTGAGTAAGCTTCAAGACTTCAATACAGTAGTCCTAATTAATCAATTGTCCAGTGCTAATAAGCGCACTTACTATAGGCGAGTTCCTACTAGATGGTAGCCAAGCAAGCTGGGTTCGATACTGCACCAAGCGAGACTGCTGAATCTGCTTTTATCAACCGTATAACAGTTACTTCCAGACTATGTGACGCGTGACTCGGTGTTGCGTTCCAAACATACAGAAGAAACCTGGAACACAAGCAGATGTTCATTACTGTTCACGGTTCCTGAAGAATGAATCCTATCACTGGCTGAACCGGCCACCGAAACAGCGCACATGAAAGATGTGGAGATTTTGGCTATGGGTGAGTTTCCAGATTGGTGGGTTGGAACTAAACGACGATTAGCCACGAGGTCGAAACTCTGTCAGGGCGAACAGAAAGGTTAATAGGGAAGTTCTACTCCGAATGCAATAACACAATAAACTACTTATGTCAAGTAACAACTTCTGTCGAAGTGTTACCTTGTACTCTCCTTCCCTTGTTCACCAGTGGACACCACGCGTCTGGGTACAAAATCACTCATGGGGACCATGCTAGAACAGGTACACAGACTGTAACCATACTCCAACCGGCTCTCAGATCGTTTTGGTGGATCGCGCAAACGTTATGTTGAACTGACTCAATTGTCACAATTACTGTATATATAAGTCAATCTCTTGAGTTCAACTACAAGAAGGATTCGTTAAGGTCTCTCCACAGCCTAGTAGACCGCAGTTTATTGTGCAAATGGTGGCAAAAGCCACTTTACCCAACAGAGAAGGGGCCGGGAGTGTAGCGCATAATTCGTTCATAGAACTGTCCAGCCCTCTTAGAGTTTCAATTATTGGCGATTCACATACCTTTTACTCAGTCCTTTCCGTGTTCATTCCGACTACAATGTTACTATGAGATATGCAGCAAAAGTTTTCACTAAAGAGAAAGACAGATGACGATGTGTGTCAATGGCGAATGTTCAATTTCTCACACTTCCCTTGGGCTTAACACCGGGTTTACTAAGAAAGCTGTGCGATCAAAGGGCACGATTTCGGTGTGCCGTGTATGTGATCGAAGAGGCCTAAAACTGGAGGCCTGACCGAAATTGTGATATTCGCTGAAACAGCAACAACAAACCTTTATCGAGAAATCACCCTATCAGACAATCCGCATGTGTGTCAGTTCGTAGGAGACTCTG